GGGAGATTGTATGTACCTACCACTCTACGTCTCACCCTTCTGGACTCCATCCACACTTCTCCGGGATCGGGTCACCCAGGCAGCCAACCAACCCTCTCGCTCCTCCGGAACAGATACTGGTGGCCCAGCATGGCTCAGGATGTCGCCCGCTACATCAAGGGTTGTTCGGTCTGCGCCATCACATCCACTCCACGCTATTTACCTGCAAGAAAACTGGTTCCCTTACCTATTCCACGTCGACCCTGGTCCCACATTGGAATTGATTTCGCCACTGATCTTCCACCCTCTAACGGATTCACTACCATATTTGTCGTGGTGGATAGATTCTCCAAAACCTGTAAACTAATCCCCTTACGTGGATTACCCACTGCTTTGGAGGCAGCCGAAGCTCTCTTCCAGCATGTCTTTCGACACTTTGGTCTCCCTGAAGATATCGTTTCAGATAGAGGGCCGCCGTTCATATCCAGGGTCTGGCGTGGTTTCTTCTGTCTGCTGGGAGTGTCTGTCAGCCTTTCCTCAGGTTATCATCCCCAAACCAACGGCCAGACCGAACGCAAGATCCAGGAGATCGGGCGGTATCTCCGAGCCTACTGTCACGAACACCAGGACAGCTGGAGCCAGTATCTTCCCTGGGCCGAGTACGCTTAGAACTCGTTGCGACAGGAAACGACTGGATTAACACCATTCCAGTGTGTGCTCGGATTTCAACTGCCACTCTTCCCCTGGACTGGAGAGCCCTTGGAAGTCCCCGCGGTTGACTTCTGGTTCCGTGAGAGCAAGAGGGTATAGGACTCAGCACATGTCCATCTCCAGCGGGCAGTCCGGAGGCACCAGGCCAACGCAGACGCTCGTCGATCTGACAATCCCCGCTATGAGCCAGGGGACCAAGTCTGGTTGTCCACCCGGGACATCCGCCTCCGACGGCCCAGCAAGAAGCTGAGTCCCCGGTACATAGGTCCTTTCCCCATAGCAAGGCGCATCAACGAAGTCACGTACCGGTTACACCTGCCTGCCCATTATCGGATCTCCCCCACCTTTCATGTGTCCTTGCTAAAACCCTTCACTAATCCTCTTCTCCCTCCCTCCACAGAACACGAGGTGCCCCCCCCTCCGCCCGAGGTCATCCCCGACGAGGCAATCTACCGAGTCAAGGAGATCCTCGAATCCCGGCGGCGAGGCGGCCTGCACAGGATCGTACTATGAACTTTGCAGGACAAGTGTGTGAATTAATCACGAATGTTACAAGTAATTGTTAGAAATCTCTTATCCTTATTCAAACATTAATGTTTTCTTCTTCAACGTCTCAGATGGCTGGATCATTTCAACAAGAGCAGACAGATGGAGAAAGTGTGAAGTTTGTGTGTGTGTGTGTGTGTGTGTGTGTGTGTGTGTGTGTGTGTGTGTGAGTGTGAGTG